GTTGGAGGAAACACTATCATCTTTTATCTGAACTGTCATCATCAGCATCAATGGAAGTTGCCAGGAAGACCATCAGCTGTTCTTGGCACTTCTTCCCGATGAAGCACTGTATCGTTTAAGCCGACAATTTCGTCCACAGTTCCAAGTTTGCTTTGGCTGTTCAGTAGAACTGCAAGAGAAGTATCTTCTCCACCAAATGTCTCCATTAGGCATGGGTGGTAGGCAGAAACATAAGTCGTTAACTGTGAGACATGTTGGAGGAAACACTATCATCTTTTATCTGAACTGTCATCATCAGCATCAATGGAAGTTGCCAGGAAGACCATCAGCTGTTCTTGGCACTTCTTCCCGATGAAGCACTGTATCGTTTAAGTCGACAATTTCGTCCACAGTTCCAAGTTTACTTTGGCTGTTCAGGAGAACTGCAAGAGAAGTATCTTCTCCACCAAATGTCTTCCTTAATTGCCTCTACGTTTTCAAATGTTTGGTAGAAATGGACACACCAAAAACACTGCAACATCATCTTCTGGTAAAGTTTGACAGCTTGTATGGTTGATGTCAAATTTGGAGGAAGAAACTTATCAATGATGTGGTTCAATTTCTTTGTACTAAGATGACCAGTGGTACTGACCATTAAAAGTTGAATTTTTCTATGTCCCTTTTAATTTACAGATTTCAGCCATTCTTAAAAAAAAAAATAGTCATCCGTGCTTTCTTGTTACAACACCATGTCTTGAATATTTAAGGTCATGCAGCATTTCCAGTCACCAGAGGTTTTAATTTCTCTCCAGTAGCACTACAACAAAAGATTATGCTTAGCCTCTAACTTGCAAGTTTCCACTTTTCGACTAAACTTTTGGTTGGAAGCTGACGATAAAACAACCTAGTCTTATCTGCACTGAACTGGTTTTGGGGAGGTTACTTCTTTAAAATATTCATTAATTCCAGCTGCATTTAAGTCCACATCTGAAGCTTCACCACACCATTGCTTGTCCAAAACTATTTTAATGTTTAGGCATTTAACCCATTGTCTGCTGATTCACTGTATACAGTCCGCCTCAGGTAATTGAATGCCAGTGTGCTGCATACGTTGTATATAACTCACAGAAATTCCATGTGCATTTAAAGCATTCAGATGATTCTACATATTCAGCTAAGTTTGCCTTCATTACAACTTTGTAATAGGTTATTTTTCAACTCGTTTCTTAAACTGCTGTAAACACCTTTTAGCTACTTTGTTTCTTTAATACGGGTTTTATTCCTCGATTTTGTGAGTTTCTTTGTTTCATCTCCTAAAACTGACCTATATTGAATGCTCATCACCGTTTCATGCTCGGTACACTATTATAAATACCATTACTTTTACATTATTGTTTGCATGTATTTTTTATTAGATAAATAGCAAAGTTACGTACGTGTAGTTTGTTTGGTAGACCACTAGACCACGTAAGATTTTTCAAATAGACCAGAATTTATCGATCTTACATAATGCCTGCAAGAAAGTGTGTGAAAATGATAGAATAAGGAAAATTCAAGCAAAGGGCATGAAAACCCCAATAAATGTTTTACAGGTCCTGGTTAGGCTTCCATAATCTTCATGCTATTACTGTTGTCTTCCCAGACCTTTAGATTTGCATCTGTTTTTCGTTTCCAACTGTTAACCTTGCAACACTAAATTTTTTCACCTAGCGCATGCCGATTTGCACCATTATCAATTAAGACCAAAACATCATTCTTGCATTCAGTGTTTCATTCGTTTAGGTTCTTCTACTTTATACTCACAGAATTTCAAAACAATTCTTAAATAGTATAACAACTGAGTTATGGTGTTGCAAAACTGCTCTTGTCAATAAATTGCCCTAACATTTGCTATTACATTACTTATAACCAATAGAAATACAAAGTTTCATCTTACTAAATGATGTATACAAAATAAACTTCCTCACACAAGTGTTTCACTTATTTGGCTCTCGGTTTGAAAAGTTTCATAGTCAACCTCTTAAGGGAATTGTACCTTAGAGAGCCAGTTAAATATAATAGCTACAGGATAGTGTATTATTAAAAGTTATAGCTCAGGCTTTATGGTTTTTTTTTAATCTATATGTTTTTCTAACTTGATGATTGAATTCACCGATTCATTAATTTGGTACCCCTCACTGTTAACAATATATTTGGCCACAGTTCCAATTATATCTCATGAATTCTGGTCAGCTTAGGAGAACTTAGTTCTAAATCCAAATCTTATGTAACATATATATATATATACATATACACATTAAAAAAGTTCATCAGTACTGTTAATGAAAATAACATTACTTACAAAACACACAAAAATTAGTTTGTTTTATCTTCTCACTAACAAAGATCAAGAAAGTGGGAATATGAAACAAGCCTCTCGGTAATAACCTAGAGAACCAGTGCAGTGCTTCAAGTCATGATAATACTTTTTATTTGTCAAAGGTCCATTATGGTTAAAACAGATATCCTTGAAACCAGGAACTTTGGATAAGGCATCTAGCGTATGCTAGCTGGTCTTGTAAAAAGGATGGTTTTTTTACTTGTTATAATTATTAACTGGACCAAAAATGTGTATAACAGTTACACTGTTAAGTTTAAATTGTACACGCAATATCCTCAAACAATTGGGATTTTACAATTAATGAAAACATTAAAAAAAAGTTGTTGAAAAGTGCTTTACTAGTTATTGGTACCCTAGTTCAGTGGGTAGAGCACTTGTCCGAGGGTCTTGGGTTTGATACTGGGCCCAGAAAATACAAAATATTGGATTCCCACAAGAAAGGCTGGTATCCAACACATCGCACAACCCTGAGATAAGGCCAAAGGATGAGTTTTATTTGTAAGAGCGGGGAATAATGTGGTAATTTAAAGGTGCTGTCTACAGAATTAACCCTTTAACTCAGTGGGTAGTGCACTTGCTTGTAATGCATAAGGACCCATGTTCAAGTCCTACTTGAGGGAGATAAAAATAGATTGAATTACCTCATCTCTTCCTTGCTTATTAAACTTCAACAACCGAGAAGCTCAAATAAATTTTTAGTCAGTGCTTAAGTATCAAAATACTTCAGTTGTTATTTCTGATTTGAAAACATATTTTCTTTACACAAATATCAGAGATGTGATAAAAATAAAACTTGCAAGATCCTTTTCCATAAAGTACTTCCTCTTGTCTTTATTTGCTGTAGAAAACCCTGTCTTTCCAATTAAAAACCACGTGAAATTGAAAACCCTCATTACCACTTCTTGGCCATGTATAGTATCTAGTTGCTTCTTGACTTCAAATGAACACTGCATGTGTGAAATATAAAACCCTCATTACCAATTCTTGGCCATGTATAGGATCTAGTTACTTCTTGACTTCAAATGAACACTGCATGTGTGAAATATAAAACCCTCATTACCACTTCTTGGCCATGTATAGGATCTAGTTACTTCTTGACTTCAAATGAACACTGCATGTGTGAAATATAAAACCCTCATTACCACTTCTTGCCCATGTATAGGATCTAGTTGCTTCTTGACTTCAAATGAACACAGTTAGATGAATGCTACAAACATCCAGGTCATCTGGCTGGGTTACTCTTGTAATTTTTATCTTTAAGCGTGTTTCCTGAATGAGACTGGTGAAGCGAAGACATGTTTAATTTATTAATATGGCTTTAGCTTTTCTATGTAGTCTACTCCAGTTTTCACCCACAACTAGGGGTGTTGGCTGGGGCTCAAGCCCCTGACCTTTTTTTTTCTCTGCCATACAACTTGTTAACTTCCGACAGATACACTTGATTCCATAACGTTCTT